ATATACAGGGTGTCTAAAAAAAACCCAAAATCATTGAAATTGACGTATTGTTCGATATTCAATGCCCTAGCACTAAGTTAATCCCACGAGTGCATAAAAGATTGACATAACTGCGATAATGAATGGTAATACTCAGCGTAAACTTGTTATGTCAGGCATAAAGTACTAAACCCACGAATGCATATTACGCATATTACAATTTACGAAGCATTTTTAAATTCCCATGAGCAAACAAACGTTCACTTTACACAGATATTTTAATTTTTTAAAACAAATTAATCACCCTGTCAAAATCCTTTGTGTTACGGCATTGAAATTCGAACAATACGTTATTTCAATGATTTTGGGTTTTTTTGAGACACCCTGTACAGTGTGTATAAAAAAAAACTGAACCCTTTCAAATTCAAATTAGCTATAACGTATTGTAGTAATTTGACAGCTCTAATTGCTTTGAATTAATGGTTGGGTAAGAACACAAGGTCTTGTACTCATGGGACAAAACTCAAAGAAATAAAAATTAGAAAATTTAAAAGTTTTTAAGAGTTTTGTCCCATGAGTACCAGACCTTGTGTTCTTACCCAACCGTTAATTCAAAGCAATTAGAGCTGTCAAATTACTACAATATACGTTATAGCTAATTTGAATTTGAAAGGGTTCAGTTTTTTTTATACACCCTGTATATAATATATTTAAGAAACTCAATAATTCATGAGGAAAAGACAAAGAAAATCACTGCCGTGTCGGTAGTTTTATATGTGATAAAAAATCATGTTCATTTACATAAACTTTAGCCTTGATTTTCTCGGCTTAGACAAGGTTTAGTTAAAGTGCATATGACATGAAATTTCTTATTTTCTTAAATGGAAGAACTCTTTAAGCTGTAGTGTAACTTATTTTTCATTTTCTTGTTTTCATGGTTTGTTCCCATGGTTTGTTTCCGAGATATTTCAATTTGTTTGATATGTAAATGAGTGTGAATATGTCGGCTAATTTATGACGTCACGTTGGTTGCAAGCTCAACTTACATTGGTTATAAATGTATTAACTCTACAAACTGTAGATATCAGTTCACGTTTTTCTCCAGTGTTTCATCACATTTACCAGTGAGTGAAGTTTGATATTATCATCTTGGATGATAGCCGTGATATTCCACCATTTTGAAGAGCTTGCAACCAACATGACGTCATAAATTAGCGGACATATTCACACTCATTTACATATCAAACAAATTGAAATATCTCTGGAAAAAAACATAAAAACAAGAAACTGAAAAGTAAGTTACACTACAGCTTAAAGAGTTCTTTCATTTAAGAAAATAAGAAATTTCATGTCATATGCACTTTAATGGGGCGCAAAAACTAGAACTAGAGCAAAAAAACAAAAGCATAAAAGTTAAATATTATGAATCATTCATACGTTACAATTACCAAATTTCTATATTCTATCACTGCACCATGTCGGCACAATTTAATCATCTACGAGGGTGCCAATTATTTCGTGCTGGTATTGACAACATAATTTATTTGATTATTCATTTTTAAACCAATCGCTTTACAGGTTTAGCGTCACGTGACTGAACCATGGCATTGGATAGGCTAAGTATCGACGACTGTTAAGAGTATATATTTCAAATTCTGTGGTAGCTATTGAATTTTGCGAGATCTTATCTACACACGTAAAAACACACAAGTTGTTACAGGATTGCAAACAAGTTGTTAAAAATCTGTTCACAAGTTGTTGTAACAAGTTTGGAACAAGCTGTCAACAACTTGTAACAAGCTTGATGGCATTATCAGACTTTGTTACCGGTTCTAACAAGTCTGATACAAACATGATATAACAAGAATGTTACAAGGTTGACGACACAAAGTTGTATAACAATATTGTTATATCATGACTGTATCGGACTTGTTGGAACAACCTTGCAACAAGTCTGATAATATCAACAAGGTTGTTACAAGTTGTTAACAGCTTGTTCCAAACTTGTTGACAACTTGGGACAAGCAATGCGAACACAACTTGTTGATGGCTTGTTGGCAGACTTGCTATACAAAATGTGAGATTTCTGCGTGTGTACACGCGTAAAAACGAACAACTGTCCCCGGTTGATATCGACAGGCTTGGAAAACGTTGTGCTTGCACTCTAAGAACAAGTTGTCAACAATGTTGTCACAGCATTGTTACAACTAAGCAATGTTGCAACAACATTATTGACAACTTGTTCTCAAGCCTGGTTTCGATATCGTCGTAAAATAGAGTCACTCAATAATAGTTTATACCTGTAAACCACATATAAATCATAAGTATTCTCTAGTTATAATCACGCTGCGTATTTTCAGTTCTAGTATGTTCTAAAATGTTGTATTTCGGCTGATGAGAAAGATCGCGACTCAATCTTTACGACCATATGGAAACCAGGCATTAGGGTACAGCACAAGCTTGTTCAAGTCTGCCGATATCAACCGGAAACAGGTTGTTCACGCGTGCATGTAGCTGGGCTGGCACATTTCTCATATGAAAACAAATCGAATTTTATATGCGTTGTTAACAAGGCAAGTGGATCTCACCGGGCTGAAACTCAGCCCGGGCTGAAAACTCTCCATGTAATCAGCCCCCTAAATGGATGATCCCAGATATAGACTAAATTTTGATCTAGGCAAGAAAAACGAAATCCATCACCACAGCTAGAAAGAGCATGTTAAAATTAGTAAAATTGCAAAGTTTGGTTGCGAAATGTTGTAAAATGTGGAAAATATATAGCCCTGTGAAATTTGCAAATTTTGTATTAATTTGTATTACGCACAAGAAAATGAACCACTTTCGGCCGAAATGAGGTGCATTTTCCAGCGCGTAATAAAAATTAATACAAAATTTGCAAATTTGTTAGGTCTATATCTTCCTCATTTTACAACACTTCGCAAACAAAATTTGCAATTTTACTAATTTTAACATGCTCTTTCTAGCTGTGGTGATGGATTTCGTTTTTCTTGCCTAGATCAAAATTTAGTCTATAGCTGAATTGTCCATATCCCAGTGAATGACTGGCGAGGGCAGACCAATCCAACATTCAAATAATCAAATAATTTCGAGTTCCTATTCAATATATCTACCGACTAACTTTTCGCCATCCAACAGGGCGTTCCCATGAGATTACGGAAAGGCCAATCGATTTTTCAGCTTAGGTTCTGCCAACCAAAACCATAGCAATGTACAATGTAATTTCAACAATTTTTGATATAAAAATGCTTGCCTTGTTATTTCAGATCATTCTTTCTTCTCCGAGTCCATGTCTGTGACCAACACGGGATGTTGTCGTCTTTTAAATTCCCCCTTTCGCCATAACGTTATTTCCTACAGAGAAATAAGAAAACGCATTTTTTAGTCCGAGTGCGATGATTCAAGATTTTTGGTCGTACCCATAGATATCTTATATACACTAGATAGTGCATCTAATTATTCTGCAATTCAAAAATTGAAGCCGTGATTGCCATGGGCGTACCGGAAGGAAAAAATTAGGGGGCGGAAAGAAATTTGTCCGACTTTTCGGGATTGTGCCCGACTAGTACGGAAAAAATATTTCGGCGACCTCCCCCCCCCAAAAAAAATTGACCACAAAATTTACTGAATTTTCCACTAAATTGCCAGAATTGGTCCCATTTATTTTTATTACAAACCAAAATTGCCCGACTGTTGATCGAATATTGCCAGACTGCCCAAAATCGAATATTGCCAGACTGCCCTGGGGGGTTGCGCACCCCCCTATAAATCCACCCCTGATTCAAGGCGTACTTAGTCTTTAAAATGAAGTACATAATGTGCAGGTTTCTGAAAGGTATTCATTCAGTAACCTAAAAATACGAGTTCGAACAACAAGAAGGACGACAACTACATACACAAACACTAGAATCGACTCACCGAAGAGAAAAGGGTTGGGCAAACAAAATAATTTTGAGTGAGTAAAATGTTGGGTAAAAGTAAACAACTCAAGGGTGGGGTAATAAAAACTTATTGTCACTTCCAAAGCATGACTCGCTCAAATATTGAAGACTAAAAAGCAATGTCAACAGTCATATTTACTAATATTTGCCAATACAACATGTAAATCAATTAGAGTCACTATCTAATCTTGATCATTTTCCGATTTGTCAGGAGGCAAATGGTGTCTCCAAAGAATGTAGATGCACAGACAACATGAAACTTTAGACTGCAGAAAATTGCACAAGCAGTTATCAAACTCGTCTCACAGAAATTGGTAAGTGTTCCATGTTTCGCGCACTAATATAGTAAACGTTATGTATTGGATATTATAATGTATTGAAAAGTTCACTAGATAGCTCCATACACATATATACACACCCTAACCCTAACCCCAACCCTAAACCTAACCCTAACCTAACCCCTAACCCTAATACCTAACCCTAATACCTAACCCTAACCTATATTGGTGCGCGAAACATGGAATGATAACCCAGAAGTGGTAAAGGACATGTGTGACAACTGAATCCTTTTGTAAAGTTTTTGGCCAAGGGTGGGTATTTATTTTTTAATTGAAAAATATAAAACCATTGGAAAAGTCAGAACATTACCTGTTGTTTAAAGTACCGTCTTTCTTCCTCATCGATAAGGACCAGATTAAGGTAATATCTTACTGAGAATTTTTTATTTACGTCTTTGAACGTCGGCGTAAGATCATAACCAGCCAGGAACAATCTGATTGGGATAGATTCACCTAAACAAATGCGAATTAATAAAGTCATGACATTGTGCCTTGTTTTGTAAAAACACCACGCATATTCATTCCGCAAAGATATTTTTTTCAATGCGTGTGCTCAGATTGTCCATCAGTGCAAACACTACGAAGCAAATAATATGAAATCAGGCTTTTAGCCAGGGTCCTAAAAGAGGGCGTCCAATTTTGGTACAACGATACATCCACAGTAAGGGGGGGGGGGGGGGGGGGG